AATTGATGTGGAAGACTTTGGTATTCTAAACACAAAGCTTGGAGCAAGGACTGTTGTGGTCAAAGAAATTAGGTATTTTTCGGTTGATCCTTGAATGGTATTTTTCGGTTGATCCTTGAATGATGTAAATTAATGTGATTAATTTATTCGTGCATAAATTAATATAATCTATAGAGTATCTCAAAAGTTTTATGAAAATTTTTGTTATACACGATCCGCTGTTTTCCCACGCTTCCGCACCCGAATTCGATTCGGGAACCAACAATAACATTAGATAATGTTAGTACAAATACTAAAGCAATTGAGTACTTCAAAAATTATTTAAGTTTATTCGGTGATGGTATTATTTTCCACCAATGTTGTGCATGCCACGTAATTAATTTAATAGTTAAATCCAGTTTAAAAGAAATGGGTACTCACATTAAAAGAATTAGAGATAGTATTGCATGGATTCAAGGTAGTAACCAAAGAGAACAATATTGGTTTAGGTTCTTACAAGCATTAAATCTACCACTTAGAGCATTAGCCTTATATATGCCGGTAAGATGAAACTCAACTTATATTATGCTTCAACAATGCAACCCCTATAAGGATGCTATAACAAACTATATATGTGCAAATTAAGAACATGACATATAGACGCATATGATTGGTAAATTGCTGAAGTTTTGTATCAATATTTAGATAGGTTTCATGAGGTTACTTTAAAACTTAGTGGAACATATTACCCAACATCACTTTTAACTTTAGGTGAACTTTTAAGAATTAGTATTTTATTTAGTGAATATAGGGTGGACTCAATCTTAGGAGTTCTTATTGCTTCTATAGAAAAGAAATTTAAAAAATATTGGTATAAGTTGCCTTTGTTGCATGGTTTGGGTACTATTTTTTATCCTAGATTAAAATTAGATGGTTTAGAAAACTTAGGTGAATTTTTAGGCATCAATTATTCTGATCAATTTCTAACAATAAAAACAAAAATATTTTCGATCTATAGTAAATATGAGAATAGGTTTAGAAATACAAACTCTGGAGTACATGGACCGTAACAACAAGATGAAAACCCGCATTCATTCTTAAATGTTTTCGGGTTGAAAAAGAAAAAGAAGACAACTCAAACAAAAGCTAGGAGTGGATCTTCTTCAACAGGTGGTAGCAGTAGCGGCGGCTTCAACGAGCTTATGGCGTACTTCAGTGAGAGCTTAGTAGTCGACGGTACTAGAGAATCGTTTGACTTAGTTCAATAGTGGAGGGCACGAGCATTAACTTGGCCAATCCTAACTCGATTGGCAATGGATATATTTTCGATCTCAGTCTCCACTATTTCATCTGAACAATCCTTTAGTACGACCGGACGAATACTTGAGGAACGCCGAAATGCATTGCAAAGGGACATTATTGAAGCCTTAGTCTGCATTAAGGATTGAGATCGTGTTGATTAACGTATACAGGATACAATTTCACCGGCAAGTCAAGAATGGATCAATAAATTTAATAGATTAACATTTAATTTTAAAGGCGATCCTTTAGCTTTAAATTAAACTATAATTTGTAAATATGTATTTGCTTTCGGCATTGTAATTGTATATTTAGACTTTGAAAGTTTGTAAAATTTATAATACGTCACAAAATGATTGCACTCTTTGGATTTTTCTTGGTAAGGTTTTTAACAAAATAATCATGAATTATGAATTTAAAAATTAATATACAAAATTAATTTATTAAATTGTGTTAATAATGTGTGTTGAATGTTAATTTTAGTTTTTATATAATTTTAATACAAAATAACTTAATAATTATAAAAATTAAAAAATATAAAAAATATTTTTCTTCAGGCATTTTGGGCGAGCTTGGGTTGCCCGACCGGGCTCAGGCAGCCAAAGCCAGGCCCACGGCCCGTCCACGGGCCTTCTCGGGCTCGGGCGGGCGGCTCAAAAATTTCAGACAGATTGGGTCAGACATCGAGTACAAAATTAATATTTTCACTCAATCATAGACATGAAAATTAAAAAGACAGAATGCGTAAAGGATAATTCATATTAAATTACCGAAAAATAAAAATCAGGGGAAACGATAATGAATCGTGAAAACGACGATAGGTAAGAAACGACATAAAATCCAGACAGCTGAGGTTGAGGCCACGGACTTGGCGCCAATTTTGGAAGTTTAAAATTGAAAAATCAAGTCATAACGCCCATAATCGGAATCAGAGATCGGAGCGGAAATAGTCAGAGATCGGCGATCCAAGCAATCTCCTCTCGAGGTTCGTTTTAAGCTTTCTTTCTCTGCTCTGCTCTGCAACATTTATGTATGTTTAATCAATTAATTTTGATTTTGATTGCGATTTTGATTTGATTTTGATGTTTCGTTTCGATCGATTTTCCAATCTCCATTTCCATCTATCAAGAGCGAAACGATTGTTGTTTCTTGGTCCGTAACGCAACAGGTGGATTAAAACCCCAACTAAATCTTTTTCTCTTGTAATTGTATTGTATTGTTGCGATTCTGCAAATTTAGTATGCGATTTGCTTTTTCTTTCATTTGAATTAGGCTTTGCGATTGAGATGAAATGCAGCGAGAGAGATGATTAAGCGATTCCTATGAATTACTATATGTTTTTGTCTTTAGATTTGAACTAAGCAGGCTTCGATCTAATAGTTCTGATCTGGTTGAGTTTCAATTTTACTGAAAACTCGAGAGTGAGGAAATAAGATAATTCCCAGATCAGATCTGATATTGGGCTTTTGGTTTTGGTTTGGTGAGTAAAGAAGCCCTGATTCCTCTTAGTGTGCAGGCTTTTGTGATGGAAGGCGAAGGTGATCAAGTTACCAGGAAACGCTTGAAATCAGCTGTATCACGACCTCAACCTCTCTTTGCTCAGCTCTTCAAACAAATTCATATTCTATGAAATAGGCATACTCATTTATCTGTTTAATTGTTTATATATCAACAGCTTGAAGACAATGGAGGAACATATGAAGAGAAGGCTGCATTTGAGACGAATGATGTTGCACAAGTTGCTGCATCGGAGGAGATGGAACTTAATGTCTCTCACATCCTCGAAAAGATTGAAAATTTCACTCACCTCGTAAAACTATACTCTTCATCTAAGTTAATTTACATAACAACGAAAAAAGATTTTAAATGCTTGTACTAGATAGATTAGCAAGGTCATAATAGTTGAGACAGTGAGAGTGAAATGTTGTTGTAGGTATCTGAGCTGCTGGAATCAGGAAAGGCAATCTTTAAGGAGCTGAGTAATGAATTTGAAGAACGCATGATAATGTAGGCTACCCAATTAATTCATTCATTAATTCAAAAAAAGAAGAGAAGAATTAAGCATTAACACGAAATATCTTGTGCAGGATACATAAAGAACAAGTTGAGAAATGGCAGGAAGAGATTAAACAGCTGAGGTTGCTGGATGCCTCAAACGAGGAGGCCCATGCTCTTCTGCATAATGCTCGATGTTTACTCCAAAATGCTCACATTGATAATGATTCCTGAAGGTAAGCTAAAATATCTTTGTATTGTATTTTCAACATTTATGTTTATGGTACTTTCGTAAGGATATAGCTGTACTGTAGATTAAGGATTACACTTGAGCTTAGGTAAAGATCAAATTTGATCTTCTCCTCAAACTTAGACAGCAGTCTGATATGACGCTTCTCCTGAAAATTTCGCTGATGCAGGTTTTTTACAAGCCATCAGGGATCAAGGAGTCTCATTTCACTCCACCATTTCCAAAAAGATAGCATGTAAAGCATTTTTCTCTGAACCAATTTCGTGGGTGACTACTGCTTTGAAATTTCTTCTGCCCTAAAAGAGATATTATAAGACTAGTTTCTTTGTAGATACTGTACAAGAAAAGTTCTACAGATCGGAAACTCTCGCACGTCAATTTCATATCATGATAATGCCTCCTAATAGTGCTTAGATAAAGGTCCATGTTTTGTCCTCTATTTTTTTTTTCTTTCCCCTTTCAAGTTAAGTGGATTAAATGCAAAGAAGGATATAACATCCTAAATATACAAAAGTGGAGATTATCCCCTCGGGGCAAAATGTTGCGGGTAATTCTTTCCATCTCCTGTCTTTAATAGAAAGGAAGAGCTCCAGAAGTAGCCTCTGCCTCATAGGTTATATGTTAGATACTTATTTGAAGCTCATTGGGACTTTGAGTTCCAAGCTACTACTTGCGTGGATAAGAAGCAGGAAAATTAGGTGCTTTGCTTAGAAGGTTTGGTATGACTCATGAGGGAAGGAAGGAAGGGTGGAAGGATTCTGAAAGATGGGTTTGTTTGGTTAGATAGATGGAAAGTTGAAGGTAAAGAGGTGATGGGAGGGATTGCCAATCTTTAGGGACCCACCAACCTTAGTCACTCTTATCTTTGGACGAATTGGTTTAGAGAAACAAGAATTAAGGGGCTGTTTGTTAAAGTGGTTTGAACCAAGGAATTGATTCAAATTTTCTTAAAACCATCATTTTTCTTTATCATACTTCATATCTTTGGAGAAAGTTACAGTCCTTTTCATTCTTTCATACTCTCCTTTCCTACTATCATATCCATCCTTCCATTCCTCACTCCTTTATAGCATACCAAAACAAACATACGGACTAACCCATCTATACGCGTATCTATACACAGATACTTTGTCAAATTTCTCCTTGAAATTGTTACACGACATTCTTTATTTGACTTGCGACATTCTTTATTTGACTTTTGCTATCTCACATGATAAGATTACTACGAGGTTTTCTTGTTTTGAAGGATAACAAGACTTTTATTAGTGCTTAGTAGTGCTTAAAGTAGACAGCACACTTGTTGATTTTTACATTTTTTTTTCCTTGTGACTTGTAGAGCATTAGAGGCTTTATTTTTTGCATTTACGTGAAAAATGTTAGGTTAAATTGATAATTGATTCCTTTTTTGCCTTTTTGATTTTTAAGATAAGATTTTACAAAATGAAAATCCATAACTAAAGAAAATCCCATTTTGACTAATATCTAACTAAGGGTCGGTTTGGTTCAAACACTAGTTTGAACCAACTCTTAGATTCAAATCACCTGAACTAGTTTACCAAATAGCCCATAAATGCTGCCCAATGTTCGAGTGAGTGCTTAAATGGGAAGTATTGAAGAATTCATGATTTTATATCCATATAGTTAATCATATTGTAATTGTTCATATTGTACAGCTTAGCTGAGGGTAATGATGCTCTTCTTTATAAATTAGTTGTATACTTTGCAATTAAATATCGAGAAACACAAGAGTTTTTGGTACCATCAGAATCAGGGATTGCATCATCCATGTGGCAAATGGGCGGGAGTCCCACTAGACATGCCATAATATATGCTAATGCTACTTACTCATGTTCTCAGTTTTAATGATTGCACAAACTTCAAAGCCGCCTTGTACCGTACCAAATGAAATGCACAAATAATAATAATATAATGATCCTCTGCTTTGGATTTTGACTTTTTTATAATTTGTAACATAATCCCTTAACAATCTTTGAGTAAGTCAACGGTATGCTAATTTGCAGTTGCGCCTCATTTGCACAATTAAACGTACCACGGAACATACAATTATTAAAGTGATCATTCAAAGATTAAAAAGTTATCATATATAGTTTCTTTTGATTATATTATTTTAAATGTTATTAACAATTACTATCATCTTAACAGCCCGGGATGTATATATATAGCCATGAAAACAAATGTTCAGCATCAAATTAAAGCAAATCAACTTTGCTTATATTAGAGAGAGCGAGAATGGAAAAGGTGAACGTCTTTAGCAGTGTTTTAGGACTCTCGTTTAGTTGGAGGGTTCAAACCCACAACATGATTCTAGTTTTTATTGTTTGTGGGACTAGTATTTGCATCCAAACTTCAAGCCCATTATCCTGATCGTATCAACGTTAATTGAAATATTTAATCACTTATTAAATAATGTATTGAATGAAATCACATATGAGTACGGGTGCATGCGGATATGGAGTCCTAAAGGAGTCTAACGCACAAGCAGACGCACTATCCAAACTCAGGACCGCAACCCAAGACGATCCATCCCAGTTGGATACTTGGAAGAGCCTTGGATCAAGAATGAATCAACTGCAGTGAATTCGGTGAATGATATCGACCGGCCAGTCAACACAACAAGGTACACCTTAATCGCTGACAAGCTTTGTCGCAGGTCCTACTCCGGTCCATACCTCCGATGCCTAACTCCCGAAGAAGGCCACTACATTATTCGATAAATCTATGAAAGGGATTGTGGAAACCATTCAGGCCCAAGATCATTGGTGAGCAAAGTCGTGAGACAAGGATTCTACTGGCCCCGCTATATTACAATATTTAATTCATGTTGATCATCGTATGTGTGTGTGCGCGCTCCTTTATATCTGGTGACAAATAAGAGCAAATTATTACTTTGATGTCTTGTTAATTTGTTGTCTATCTAATTAACTTATTACACCTCATTTAAAAACTAGTATCTTACTATTTTATTTTATCGGTAGACTCAATTAGAATTTCTATATTTAAAATTCATATTGTGTCTTTGTTCCTGTTCTACATAATCTCATTATGCGTAATACATTCATTCAATATCACACCATATTAACAATGCAGATAACACCGTTTCATTCTAAATGGGAATGACATATATTAGTAATGTTCTAATTAAAAATTCTAAACATTAATTAGATTTATTACGAACATCATCTTTTGATTATTATCTTTAAACATTATCCTCTCGTATACAACACTTATATACAATGTTTAAGGTTACATAAATAATCACGAAATTTTCATTTGCTATTCATAAATATATGCACATAAAATGATGAATAAACTCTTTTATTAAATAAATAATAAATATCTTATTACATCTCATGCTTCTATGACACCATTCTCAACACTTTGGACAAAGCCGCTAAACTTGTGGCGAGCAACCGGCATCCTCATCTTTTTGAGGAAGCCGCTGAAGAAGCTCTGGCAAGCAGCTACAACTTCATGCAAAAAGCCACCGATGAAGCGTCTCCATCCATCCCTGCCGACCCCAAAGGAAAAGCCCCGGCTAGTAGCTCCGCTCCCCCTAACACTTCAGTGCACCTCATCATCAAAATTCGTGTTAGCAAAAATATGAATAATACAAAAATGAACAATATATAACAACTTATTGCAAGAACAAAATATAGAAATTGTTACAACACAAATTCAACCTTTCTACTGAACTTGAAAAATGAATTACAAGGATGTCGAGGCACGTGAACCACGCTTTCCTTAAAACAGATTCGTCCCCTCCGGCGAGTGGTTGAGGTAACATTAGATGTCCGTTTCTCAGGATACAACGGCAATGATGGTAGCTCAAAGCATTATAAGAACCGTCCGGCGAACTAGAACTTGGATCTTCCCTCTATCACCAAAACTGAACTACAAAAAAGGAAAACGCACATAGAACTCAAAAAAGAAGATAGGAACCGAGAGAGAAGAAAAGAAGGGTAAACGAGTGCAAGTGAGTCCTCTCTTTCATGTGGTACACGCCTTATATAGGCTCTCGGGAAAGGGGTATGAGACAAGGAATTAAAGGTCGTAATTCACACAAATTAATAGTGCAAAAATGTTTCCTTTCACCAAGATGAACGCGGCCACAATACATTGTTAGGTTCAAAGAAAAATTGATGCAATAATCGGCCTTTAACTTCACAATTAAGCTCGGCATTAAGCCCATTTTAATCACCATTATTCCAAGCCGAACGGATTTGGTTGAACGTGGAAAGTTCTGGCCCGAACCAAAAAAAGAAAAAGAAAAATCGCAAAACAAAGCCCGCACGGAGCGGGGTTTTCGGTCTGGCATTCGAATCCGCAGGTCGCGGGCGCACACATTGGGCCCCTAACCCACCGGGACCGTGTGACGGCCCGCGCCCTTGCGGCGCAGTCGCCGTTCCTTATACTACTACTAATAGGCTAAGTTATAGTCTAATCCATTATTTGTTGTTAGACTATTGTCTCTTTAATCTACGTTCATATGCGGGTAAATTTTTTTTTTCTTTTTTTTTTTTTTTTTTTTCTTTTAACCCCCGGGTTTTTAAAAT